GCACCATGGAGATCAGTATGAGAAGAAAGATTCAAATATATTTAACTCATAAGACATTCTTCACATGTTTTCTCTTTCCTTCTTTTACTTTTTTTTTAAGTGAAAAGAGAAAAAGGTTTTGGTTCTCTCTTTACCATTGTTTTCATTTAAATAATTGTAATCAATTTTTCATGCAGTGTTTTCATCTCAGCCAACAAATGCATTCAGATGGGCATACATGCACTAAAAGCTTGCCTTCTGTTTTTGTGATTAATTGAGATGTAGAGAGTGATGGGTGTGGGGTAAAAATAGAAATGCAATTAGTGCAGCTAGGCATGACATACATTCAAATGCAAGCAGAATGTCTCCCCAGTTAGTGATCTCTTTCTGGGCTCTTGAGGATTTTCCTCCCATTAGTAAGTCACTGGAATGGAAATCTTCAGCCTTTGGGGAGACCAGAGCATTAAACATGGAATTAACTCTTAACTGCAAACTGAGTCAGCTCAATAGGTCATTAATTCTACTGCTTGGGTATATATCATGCTGAGCTTTGGTGTGTGGGCTTCTGAAATGTTAGGAGTGAGTTTATAAAGCATTGCAAGGACTAAATGATGGTTATCTATCATTCCAACCTTTGCCTTCACCACTTAGATACTAATATCTCTGGTGACTCAAAATCAAAATTGAAATGCAGGCAAAAGCTTTTGCTAAAACCAATGGATTTGGACCTTTACTTAGAAAAGTTGTATATTGTATATTTTGAGAAAATAAATTTATGTTGCACTTTATAGAATATGTGATTCTTAGTTTTTACAAAGGTGTGTCCTCAGTTGATAAAGATATCACAGTGCCTCAAATATTATCCTACCCCAAATTGAGAATCTTTCTGCATATCTTCATAACCAGTAGAAGTTGACTAGCTTTGCTTTGAATGTTTTAAAATAAATTTCTAAGTATAAAGCGTATTGAAATATTTAATATTTTAAGCCACCTATAGCACTCCCTGATTTCTGATAATATTTCTTTTCTTCCCATACTCTTTTACATCCTCTTTGAGAATCTCCAACAGATATTATTATCTCCTTTGATCATCCCAGTGTAGTACAGTTATTAACAACTTGCATTTACTGATTGCTTACCCCAAGGGTTTTCACACTTGATGATACTGATGTTTGGGTCCAGATAATTCTTTGCTGTGGGGGCCTGTCCTGTGCACTGTAGGATGTTTAGCAGCATCCCTGGCCTCTGCCCACTACATTCCAGCAGCAACTCCCCATATTGACAATCAGAATCTCTCCAGACATAGCCAAATGTCCCTTGGTGTCAAAATCTTTGCTGGTTGAGAACCACTGGTTTATCTTCTACTGGACATTATTTTGTTTGAGTCTACAATAACCTTGTAAAATAGGAAGGACTGTGTTGATCAGAGTCTTGGCAGGAAACAGAACCTACACAATATGGGTCGTAGACTTTTATGAAGGGACTGCTTAGGGATGTTGAGGCACCCAGAAAATAGCAACAGTGAGAAGCCAGGGCTAAAGAAGCAAGGAGAGGAAATAATGTTGCTGGAGTGCTGGGAAAGCTGAAGCTGTGGAGCAGAGCCCTCAAGAGGGAGATGAAATCAGGAAGAGACAAAGCTACACCTGGTGATGCAGCACTGTAGCAGAGAGAGCATAGGATACCTGGTCTCTAACTCCTTAATTCTTTGATCACTAGCCAGTCCTACCAATAGGTTGAGTCCAGATGAAATCCAACCAGCAAAGGACTGGAGTGATGCAGTCCCAGGATTCGGTCCCATGAACTCAGAGAAAGAAGGAAAATGGAATCTGTTGGAGCATATGGAGGAAAAAACAAAACAAAAACAAACCTATCTCCATTTTAACACGAGAAACTGAGATTTAGAGATATAAAGTAATTCATCCAAAGCCAAATACCTAATGCGTGAAGCAGGCATTTAAAGCACATCTATTTCACTCCATGCACTACAAAGGTGTCTTCATTGCTTATTTGCATGAATGAGCGGACTGATAGTAGCTGAAAGATGCAAAACCAGGACCCAGTTCTCATTCCTATTCTAATGTTCACTTTTTTTATGTTGTCATTGAAAGATATTTAAGAGCTGTATATCCAGCCCATTCTCATAGACATGTAGGAACAAAAGCTATCTGCCCGCCTGTGAAGTCTTTTCTGAAAAGCTTATGGAATTCTAGGTTTCATGTAGAATGTTTAAATGGCATATGCTGATTTTCCAAGCTGTTGGCACATTTTCATCTTGATTGCAGGAACTCGGGCCCAGCTGGTGCAATGTGTTAGGAACAGGAGGACTGGACTGGGAATCTGGGGATCCGGGGCCCGGTCTTGGCTCTGCCATCCCTAGTGTAATACCCCCGCCACCAGCAGTAGCAGCAATAATAAAAATTCCGTAAACCTTTTCTTCCCTTTTGCGTTCACCCAGATCTTCGCAGTTATTCTCAGGTATCTAATCCAGTGGCCACAGTTCTGTGAAGTAAGGAAGGTATTAGAGTTTCATGTTTCTCAAACGAGGAGTCAGGCTCAGATAGTACTAAAGTCTCGCTGAAAATCGCGTAGCTGGGAAGTGTGGTCTCAACTCCACATATTCCCGCTGAAAACACAGTGCCTTTTCTCCTCCATCTTTGAAGTGATGAATCAGCTGGTGTACTTCCTCTGGAGAGCCAGTCTGTAGTGTTGAATCTGTTAGCCTTCATCATAAAGTCATGTCTAGATTAAAGTCTGAGACTGTGTGATTTTTGTCCTAGGGTTATAAGCAAGGTGACGGCAGATACCAATCTAGTTAGCACATAGGGATTCCTCATTTTTTCCTTTCTGGGTATTAGATGGAATATATTTATTAACCTACAGCTTTTCAGAGACAAAATTGGTGTTTTAAAGGCATTTTAAAATAGGGCTTCCCTGGTGGCGCAGTGGTTGAGAGTCCGCCTGCCGATGCAGGGGACACGGGTTCGTGCCCTGGTCCGGGAAGATCCCACATGCCGCGGAGCGGCTGGGCCTGTGAGCCATGACCGCTGAGGCTGCGCGTCCGGAGTCTGTGCTCTGCAACGGGAGCGGCCACAACAGTGAGAGGCCCGCGTACCGCCAAACAAACAAATACATACATACATACGTACATACATACATACATACCAGGGGGCGGGGGTGGGGTGGAATCTAAGTAAATTAATACAGTTCCATTTTTTCCCCTTATTCATGAGTAAGTTGTATGCTAGTAATTCAGACTCAGCCTTCTCTACTAAGATAAAGTGAGTTGAAGGAAGCTCTGGACTCCTGGAAGGTCTGGCAAGAACCTCAATCCTTCCCCCAGACTGTTTCCCTTCTTTGCCTTAAGGTGGGAGGCCCAGGAAGTAAGACATTTCAGGTCTCTAGGCAGTACTCAGTACTCAGTCCTGATCTCTGCCCACCTCTCCTGCCCATTTTCTACTTTTACAATATTTTCAGCACCACCCCTTTATTTTTACACTTTCAGTATTTTCAGGCATAAAATCAGGTGTAAAACACAAAAAAATTAACTTTTTTATTTTACCTAGCTAGTTCCAAGAAAATCTAGGGTTCTCAGTCCAAGGCAGAGCTAAAGAAAAGGGAAAAAGAGAAGAACAAAGAGGAAAGTAAAGTATAGGATTTTGAAGTCAAAAACAAAAAATAAATAAATGAGTAATAAAAGATTGTAAGTTCTACTTTTGATACTCTCTGTAGTTTGGCAGAATTATAAAATTCCTTCAAAGAAATCATTTTATCTGATCAAGAATTATAGCTACATTATAACATTGTATCTGATGTAGATGATTAGTAATGCTTTGGAAAGGCAGTTGTATAATTGTTATACTGTTCATACATAAAGAAAGGTGGAAGAGCAGTATTTTCAGTATTTAGAAGATTAGAGTTGAGCTAGGTTACCTGGGTACAGATCCTGACATCATCCCTTTTTACCTTTGTGACCTTGGTAAGTTACTTTCCCTGTCTGGGTTTTGGTTTCTTCATTGATATATTCAAGGTGTAAGTAGAATCTATCCCATATGGATTTTTATGTTTGAAGAAATTAATATTGACAAAGCTTTTAGGACAGTAGTGGAACATAATAATCACTCTGTGAACGTTAGTTGTCATCAGAAACATTGTTTCCCTAATCATCATCATCATTATCATCTCCACCAGCACCATCATAATCACCGATTTCTACTACAGACTCAGTCCAATGTTTCCATTCTTCTAAAGTATAATCACTTAAAAACCTAATAAATAATGACTAATTATAGAGCATCGCTATTTAGGATAGTTCAACCAAAGAAATAGTAACGTATGTATGAATAATGTGCATTTGTATTTTGGAACATATAACCTAACTCAGAACTTTAGTAATAAGACTTGGCTACCCTTCCTTTCTAATTGATTGTGTACTCACTGTATACAAAGGTTTATTCATAGTGATTCTACTTGGTTTTGTGTTATTATACCGAGTATATTTTCCCAGGATTTCAGGTTCGAAACTACTGACAATGAAATATTTCAGGAGTCAGAATCAGACATAAATTATATGCTGCAGAGGTGTCTTCTTATTACCAGAAGTCAGCCTAGAGTCTCTAAAATCACATTAAGGTACTGTTTTTGTGGTTATTGAGTTTCACCCTTGAGAGAATTGAAAGAACTGACAATGAAGTGTAATAAATCTTACTCTGACCCAGACATACTCAGTCATTTAACTTCCCGTTAACAATCCCAATTCTGCTACGTAAAATAAGTCGAAACATATTTTTTCTCCTTTTTCACTTTACATTTAGAGAAGTAGAAGAACATTTCACATATTTCATAAAAATAATTATGACATTTGTCTGTTTAATTAATTTATAGTCAATGCCTTATTTACATGCTTGGGGTTTTACTTTGAGATGAGAAGGGACTATGAAAAGGGTGAGCCGTTTTTTTATACACAGGAGCGATTGGCTCTCCATTTTTTAATTTTTATCTATTTTCTTTGTCTCAATCCCCAGCCTCTGAGCCCAACTTGAAGGTGCGGTCCAGGTTAAAACAGAAAGTGGCAGAGAGGAGAAGCAGCCCCTTACTCAGGCGGAAGGATGGAAATGTTGTCACTTCATTCAAGAAGCGAATGTTTGAGGTGACAGGTAATTGAGGACTGGGCAGATATACACTAAAAAATGCTGCTAGTAGGAATGAACAAAAAAAGTTTAGAAAAATATACCTGTTGTATATTAAAAGTTATTTTGAGGAGAAACATTTCTTGAAAGGAAATTATATTGAAAACTCACAAGTAGTTCAGTAAACCTTGCCATGCATTCACCGTGTTAAACAGGAAATGAATGAAAAACAGAACTGTGTGTCAATAGGCATAACTAGGGAATGCCAAAGCTCACCTTAATCTTTTCAGAAACAAGCAGTCCATTTTGGGAATGCCAGCCAGGAGAACATTACTTTTAATGAAATTTGATCAGAAATGAGCAGAGGGAGGTCCAAGAAGAACACTTCCCCCATACTCAGACATGAATGTACAAAATACATCTGGGAAAATTAAACTACGTGGAACAGCAAAACCTTGACTTTTCAACAAATTTACAGAACTCATAAATGACTTTATGTGTTTACTAGTGAACTGGGACTTATGGCAGGAGGGGGATATATTGCCTTTTATGAAGGGAAAAAAACTGTCATTTTCACTAGTCTCAAATGGAAGAGTTCTTATTTTTTTAGCTGCCTGGTTAGTAGTGGGGTGAACAGGTTAGGAAATTCAACCTGATGTCTTACAAAGCCCGCTAGTCCCATTTGTACCTGGTCTGAAATTGGAGAAGACACAGGGATACCAGAACCAATAAGGCTAGCCAGAATAACAGTACTGACTACTGTTTATCGAGTACCTACTTAGAGCTATGCATTGTATCTGGTCATTTCCTTTAGTTGCATCAATAAAGAAATGGTAATCTACAACCATTTGTCTCCATCCCCAAGGAAAATTGTGCTTATACCAATATAGTCAGTTGGTATTATTTCTCCAATATCAGATCTTATTCTTAGCAAGTTTTAACAAATTATTTGTTTTCTATGTCTTCTTTGGTCATGATAGTATCTAGTTTAAGGAGACAGTATGGAGAAGATTGCAGAGGTAGAGGCAGAGGTGGAAAAGTACAGAATACTAATGACACAGTGCTTTGACAGGCTACTAGGGCAAAAAAATGTTTAGTCTTCTATTCAGTCCTGACAGATTAATATGTTTATCTGAGGGAAAGTATTGGTGGGAAAATTTTTTCTTGAGGGATAAGAAATATTAAATAAACAATTACTTTACTAGAGTTTATTTTCCAGTATCAAATATAATCACTAATTTTGACCAATTGAATTCTAAATTTAGAGTTATAGACTTTTTATGCCAAGAAACTTATATGTATTTTAGTGAATAAAAATCTTAAGTAAGTTTTCATAATAGAGGTCCTTGGTGGGGTTGGGGAGTTGGGGAGTGAATCTGTTTTAATGAATGTAAACAATAATGAACATATCAACTGTCTAATGTAATGAAATATAGGTGATTTTTCTAGTGGGAGAGAGTAGGTTCTCTCATAACAGAAAAACTTGAAAATAGAAAAACATATATATTGCTTTTTTGTTTGTTTTTTTTTAGAATCTTATTGTTTAAGGTCATATTTATTTATCCCAATTTCTTTTCTATTTTCCTATTAATCTTTTTTTTTTTTTTTTTTTTTTTTTTTTGTGGTACGCGGGCCTCTCGCTGTTGTGGCCTCTCTCGTTGCGGAGCACAGGCTCCGGACGCGCAGGCTCAGTGGCCATGGCTCACGGGCCCAGCCGCTCCGCGGCATGTGGAATCTTCCCGGACCGGGGCACGAACCCGTGTCCCCTGCATCGGCAGGCAGACTCTCAACCGCTGCGCCACCAGGGAAGCCCCTAATCTTTTTCTTGATCATAACTTTTTTCCCATGGTCACTTTCTCGTCCTTACCAAATTTCAGTGAGATTTAGCTCAATGCTTATTTGAGTAACAATTACTTCTCATTTGTAAGGGTTATGATTTGCTAGAGTTCTACTAAGATTTCTTTACTTGTGAAATATCATAATTTTCTCTTTCTAATTTTGGGATATAATAACTCCCCTTTTCAACTGAGGAAAAAAACATGTATTTGAAGAGACTTGTACATTTATAAGACACACATTTCTGATCAATAAGCTAGGACTCATGGATGCTTTGGTAGATATTTTTAACTGGTATGTTGCAGTTATTCTAAATATCTTTGGAGGATATGAACTACTGGACACACAGCTTTCTTTACCCGTACTCCTTTCCCTTTCTTTGCCAGCTTTCATGTAATTAGGATGAGCTCTGTTTGGATCTTAATACTAATTATTTTTGCTATCGAGTCAGAGACCACCATAGCATCATAGCAGTTGAATTCCCACTGCTTTTCTTTTTTCACCTCTACCTCTCTCTTCCTTGTTTCATAGGTTCAAGTGTTTGCTTTTTCCAAACCCATGCCACCTCTCTCTTCCCAGTAATTGACATGGGAACCACTTATCATCTTCCTCTTTTTCAAAGCCAAGAGTTTTCCGCCCCTCCCCACCCCCAAAGCCATGTTAATTTAAAATTCTAACATCCCTGTGCCTGCAACGTCTTCTCCTCCACTCTTCCCTTCTCCACTGACCCCGTTTCATGAGCTGCTCTTATTTAAGCCCCAGTTGTGATATTATTTCTTCTCAGAGATTTTTGTCAGTGTTCCCAGAAAATCAGTTGCTGCCTCCCCTCCCAGACCCTATCCAGCGTGATGCTGTAGAATCCTGTTGTAGTATTTGTTGTCTTGAATTCTAGCGCCTATCATAGTGATTTCTACATAAGGAAATACTTCTGTGTATCACATAAAATAATATAAATAGCGTAATTTTAAATTGACAAGACAGAATGTTTAAAAATAGTTTTCATTTTACTTTTGTTCTTTTAAAGACAGGATACAGAAATGGGACTTTAATGAGAAGTCAGTGTGTAGTCATACAGGAAAGACAAGAGTTAGGAGTCCAGGGGAAGGAAGCTCTTGAAGTATTTTTTTTAATGTGCATCTTCTTTGTTAAAAGAAAAGTAAATAAGAAAGAGGCAAATATAAAAATAGACTAATCAATAAGCAAGATATATAGACCGAAAGGTAGTGAGCAATATGTATTTAAGAATTTTATGATATCATTGACTTGATGAAATCCCACAGTCGGTAGGTGGCAGGATCAGAATTCTGCCACCAGTCTCACATTCTTTCCATTGGTACTGCACTTCTGAGTAGAGAAATATTTATAATAGAAAGTTGAAAGTAATAGGTGTTCCAAGGGAGGGCAAGCAACTATAGCCTGAAAATTGGGAGCTTCCATTCACGGGTCACAGATGGTATGTGAGCCAGGCTTTGAGCATAGAGGTGGGATTGGACCTTCAATGAAGTAGGTGGAGGAAAAGGAGGGTAAAAAAAGCATGAAATGGGAAAGCAGCACATACGGAGAGTAGGGGATTTAAATTTGACTGAGTGCAGAGTTCAGAAAGGGCAATATTAGAAAATAATGTTAGGCTCCATTTTGGAGCAGAGGAACATAGTGAAAGTTGTCTTGCTATGATCCATCTGGCAACAGTTTAAGGAAAGTTTGGAGAGACTGACTGCTGTAGCAACTTAGAAATACAGGAGACTTTTGCTGTAGTCCATGAGAGAGTAATGAGGGCTGAGGGATTAAGCTGAAATCATTGTAGTCAGAAGTAGATGAGAAATGATGTAAAGAACAAAACTAAATAATGTAGTAATTGATTAGATTTGGAGCAGGGAAGGGAATGAGAATGACTGTAAGGGTAGTGATAAACAGAGGTAAGCAGAGCACATTTAATATTGAAATACACTGAGTTTGATACACATATAAAAAGAGATGAAAGGGGCTTCCCTGGTGGCGCAGTGGTTGGGAGTCTGCCTGCCGCTGCAGGGGACACGGGTTCGTGCCCCAGTCTGGGAAGATCCCACATGCCGCGGAGCGGCTGGGCCCGTGAGCCATGGCCGCTGAGCCTGCGCATCCGGAGCCTGTGCTCTGCAACGGGAGAGGCCACAACAGTGAGAGGCCCACGTACTGCAAAAAAAAAAAAAAAGAGATGAAAAATGTCCAGTATTCCAAAGAGATTCAGGCTAGAAATTATGAGAAGGAAAGACAAGAAATAAAAGTTTTATGGGAGTATTCTGCATAAAAATGATAGTATGATGTCATAATTTTGAGTGATTTTGACAAGGGAAAGAGAAGTAGGATAAGGCTACAAACTTCGGTGAATATCTACATTTAGAAATTGGTCGAAGGAGGAACAGCCAGAGAGATGGAAAAACAAACATGGAAGTGGAGAATCTTCTTGTAGAAAGGATGAGGAGAATGAGAACTGTTTTGTCAAAAGCCTTCAAATTTTGGGGTGTTCAAGAGAACAATTGCAGTCCACAGTGAGCAAGCTAGATTGCCTGGTCTCAAAGAACAAGCACACTACTTCTCACAAGTTATTAGCATGCTTTCAGACTAGAGGGACAATTCCAGTGGAAAAGGAGGACCTGAAGATTCAAAATAATTGCTGGAGCAGAATTCTAAAGCAAGTGTTAAGGGGACTGGGTCATGGGTGAGGGTGATGGTGCCCGCATTGGAGCGGGGAGCAGAAGAGAAATGCTTTCACTTTGACACGGGCAAGGAGAGTGTGGATGACAAAATCATGAGGTAGAAAGAAAAGTCACTGATAGAAATCATGTCAGAAGTTGTCAGTCTCTGAGAAGTGTGAGGCCAAGATCATCTGTGCAGAGCTGAGTAGACAAGGTATAAGGATGAGTCACCTAGAAAAATGTTCAAATGAATGAACTATGGAAGGTGATAGGGGATTGATTAGAGCTCAACAGATAATTTGCCAAGGCTTGATAAGATGGCCTCTCTTAGCTATATTTCTAGGAACTGAAAGTTTCTATTTCATTAATTAGATATTTTAGTAAGTGCATTTCTTCCTTTGTAACTTGAAATGTGTGTGAATTTTATATCTGAAGATGATAGAGATGATCTATATTGTTGTTATCCAACTCTTGCTTAAATGAGTTTCTTGTTATATTGATGTTTAAAATTGAACATATTAAATTTAGGCAACTTATCATCTTCTGGAAAATAAGTTGGGTAGAGCTAAGGTTAGCCAATGTTGTACAAGGCCATCAATACAATATTGAGATTTTATCTTATGTTGTATTTTCTTCATACAACTTTGACTAAGATGTGCTGTAATAAGGTACAGCCTTAGTAAATTAAATAAAGAGCCATTTATAACATAGCATATAAGCAATCTTGCCACACACAACAGGAATGACTCCAGGCCTCATTTGTTGATGGCATGTTTTTATGAATTATGCAAGTCCATTATCTCTATTACTGTTATTATTTATGGTAGCACAAGAGCAAGTAAGAGGAGATTACATTCTTTTTTTTTTCCCCTAATCGAAAGCTTCTACAATCCTCTCTAACTGGATATCTCTACTTCTCTAAAATTAATGAATACTATGTTGTATTTTTAGCAGTGAAAGCAAAGGAAGAAACGTGGTATGGAAATTCAGAAATGTTCCAAAATTTTTCACAGTTCTTTTTATTTAGTCATTCACGTAGGGGAAGAGAAACAATGTTCGCTTCTGTATATTACTTAGAGTATAACTGCAGTTCATCTTTGTATGTTTTTCATGAGTGTATTCGTACTTCACAATGTTTTTCAGAATCCTCAGTCAGTAGCAGTTCTCCAGGGTCTGGTCCCAGTTCACCAAACAATGGGCCAACTGGTAATGTTACTGAAAATGAGACTTCGGTTTTGCCCCCTACTCCTCAGGCTGAGGTAAGACTCATTATTTTGGTTCTTTTAAAAGTTAATCCTCAATTAGCCCCCTAAAATGCAGTGATATTTCTGAATTGAAGTTTAAAGCCACCCGTTCTTAGTTATTTTTCTGATAGGTTTATAATGTGTGGAATTGAATAAACTCAATCTGATTTACAAAGTTTGGATGACAGTCATGGTTTGAAAATACTGAAGTATAATCCTCAAAGAAACCACTCTTAGTGATGCTGAGTATATACTGCCCAGCAGTTGTGCAACTCAGAAGTCCTTCTGCATCGTTCTTGGTTATCCTGATGGGAATAGACCCATCAGTAAGTAAAACAACATCATGCAAACCTCTCAGAAGAACAGTTGCCCAAAACAAGTTAGGTGTTTTATCCAATGGACCTGAAGAGTAATGAGAAAATTGTTGAAGTATCATAATTGAGGAACACAGAGCTCCACTAAGCAAACATGTATTAAGGACCTACTATGTGCCAGTCATTTTGCCTGGCAGTGGGGCTATAAAGATAAATGATATGTGAACGCTGACCTTGAAAAATGAAAGATTAAAGGAAACTGGTCTGAAATAACACATGATTTTTTTTTTCTGACTGTATGCGGTCAACTTTAATAACATTTGTTTTTTGGCATACGATTTATTGAAACCAGTGATACAACAATAGAGGAAAGTAAATTTGTGAGTCAGCAAGAATTTGTCTATGTAGTTTCTGTAGTAGGCTAAGCAAAGGCAACAGCCATTCCTGTGGAATCAGCTGTTTTGGAGTCACCATCAATCGACTGAAATTCTCAATATTTCTTTTCTGTCATTATAATGCCTCCTTACCATGCATTGCTCTATGCAGGGGAAGCTGGTGTAGTAACTTCTCATATATAACTGTGACATGCTTCTTCCATTGTGTTTTATAGAGTCATGATCCTTTGGGGCTGAAAGGGACTGATCAAATCTCTGATTCCTGAACCATCTGTGTAGCTCTCCTGATATGTGATTATCAGACTGCCACCAGAGCACTTTTTATTCAAAGGGAACTCGCTTCACTGTCTCCTGGGGCAACCTGGTTGATTTTGGACGGTTAACTTGACTGATAGAAATGTCTTCTGTACATTATGCCAACATCTGTGTCTGTAACTTCATACATTCACACATACATGTATAATAAATTATTTATAAGTTATAAATTATCTGGACAAAATATAAGGGAAGGTTGTCCGTGATAAGGAAAGGACTGGAGCCAGTAAAGTCACTTCCTCTCTGAGGACATTTGTATACTTGAGTTTTGGTTTTCAGAGCCTCACATAACTCCAAAGGGAGAGAGAAGGCAAAGCCCAGTACTGACCAAAGAGGATAATCTAACAGGAAACCATTCAAACCCAAAGACCCATATCTGTGCTACATTGGTGAGTCCCTCATCCCCACCCACGGAGGTGTCTTGATGTAGACCAGAGCAGGGGCAGAGTCTTTCCTGGAGAAGTTGTAACCAGAAGCTAGTTGTAGCCCGAATTTTCATAACCTCAAACTGTTAATTTAATTTGAAGTGCCCCAGATTTTTAGTTCCCTAGGTATCTGGAAAAAGCAAAAGTAAATTCTTTCTAGAGGAATAGACATTCATTTTAGATTTCAAAATTTTCCCTCAATTTTCCAAGGAAAATGAGCAGAATAGATAGATGCTCTGTTGCTTATGACCATCTTTCAGCTATGTGAAGAATACAATTCAGGCCGCTGTATTTTTTCCTGTCCTCCATCTATTTCTTGTTTCTTACCATCCTATTGTCCCTTTCTCATCTTCATTTTTCTTTGTAAAACATGATACCAGGTGGAATAAATATTTCACATGTATTTATGGCCATAGATGTAAGTGGGATTCTTGGACTATTGGTTACAAGCATTGTATTTCTGTTAGTGCAGTTATATCTCAATATCAGTCAGTTTTCTGCAACCCTTTAATCAATTTCCAGGAAAAGAACAACTTGGTCACAAGTATTTCTAAAAAAACTTTAGATTTCCATTTCCTCTCAGTTTGAAGAATGAGTTTCAATTGCAGAAACACTAAAAGATCTGGGTTCTTAATAGGTTCTGGATGAATTCTGTATCCTTGGAAAATGAAAACACACTAAACCACATTCATTAAACAGTATTTATGATTCTTAGAAAAGCATTGTTAGTACAAAAAGGTGTGGAAGACCACTTACAGCTTGATAGTATTTTGTTAAGTTCAGAAACAGGCAGTACAGTATTTTGATCGGAAAAACGTATGTAATAAAAGTATATTTTAAAAAAGCGAGGGAGTGATGAACACAGAATTTAGCATGGTGGTTACCTCTCAAGGGGGAGGAAGGCAGTGGGGGACATGGTTTGTTACTAAAGATGAAGATACATATAACCTTTCATTATAAATACAAACATATGCATATAGCACTTAGTACGACATTAAGAAACAACGAAGCAATACATATTCATGAGACTGGATACAAATGGGAAAAGGTGAGATTTTGTCTTCAAGCTTTTTAAAACCTGGTAAATTAAATTGAGTGTCCATGATTGTGTGACCCTATCATTAAATTTCAAAATATATACAGTGGAGAATGTAAATGAAAGGAATTTGCTTTTACTATTTTAATCTGTTTTATATTCCTAAAACCTTTTGCTGATACCTAAACACAACTATCTGTTTATATGCCCCAGCTTTTCAGCGAATTGTTGACATATTCTTTCCTTCCACCCCCACCAGTTTAAAAAAAAAAAAAAAAAAACAGAAGGAAATGTGATTGAATGGAGTTTGAAAGAGTAGAGGTATTTCTTCAGGTCAGTGACAGGATGTTCACCTCCAAAGCTGGAAAGACTAGTTCAAAAGCAAGCAGTGACTTACCTCATAATGAATTAATTGTGTGTCTGAACTATGATCCAAAAGGCCAGGTGGGCAGACCTTTATGCACTGATGGGTAGCCTCTCCGTGGCCCAGAACAAAAAATTCAGCCCTGATGGCTAACATGTGGTTTTCTGCTGCATTGCATTTACAGAGGTCTGTAGCATAATTCATACTGGAGAGGTGAGGAGACAGCAGAATTCAGACTGAAACTGTCAGCAAATTAATATCCTCGTCTTGTAACACCAAATATTTCCACCTAAACTAGAGAAAAGAGGAAAAAACAATGTTTTTCAGCCAATTTTGGATTAATCATTTTGAATTTCGTATGATGTTTACAGACATCTAAGATTAATAATAGCATGTGATGTCATATCAACAGAAATATTTGGGGGTATGGAAAATTTACATCATTACACTTTCCAAAATCAAATTGGTTGCATACTTTACCATTTATAAAATAGGCTTATTCTACCATCTTTGCTTAAAATAGTGTAACAGTGTACATTTGAATCAACTCTCTGTTCTGTGACCGGGAAGTAGAAAAGCATGTCACCTAATTCTTTCAGATCCCATGTAAACGAATGGGATTCTACTCCCTTTTTGCTGCTTAGGAAATAGGAAAGTAAGGCTGTATTTCAGGCTGATCTTGAGGCTTAGGTAAAAAGAAAATTTTCTCTCTCATAATTCATGTGTACTGCATAATTTAAATAAAGGTTAAGACAGAAGTAAGGGGAGAATTTATTCGTAAGTCCAGGCTGAGGAAACCGCACATTGCATTCAGATGTATGGGTCTTCCATTCAGAAGGCTCCAAGGAACCTGGCTGCAAAACCAACTACTTTGTCATCATTGGTTAAGTTGCTGAACTTGCCCTGAACCTCAGATTCTTTATCTAGTGAAAGGTGGTAATGACTACCCCAGCAGCTTTGTGGTGGGGAATCAGTGCTTGGAAGGCAGGTATTAAATTGTGAAGTGCAGAACAAGTTCATTTTTTGTTGTTGGTATCAATACTGACTTCTAGTAGGGAAAACTCATTAGTATGTTTGTCACCAAGCCAGCAAATCTCACGTGAGACTGAGCCTCCATCTGCTCTGGCCACTTCTGTTCCATTTCTTCAATTTCTTACATATGCTCAGTCCCGAACTCGGATCACTGGAGCTACTTGCTTTACTCATTTGTAAACTTGGTTGGGGAGCTGAAACCTCAGGAGTTTCTATTTCCAACTCCAGTCAGAGATGTCTTTACCTATCTAGTTACTTTATTGTTAATACTGTGGGCCTGTGGGTTCAAATATGTTTCCATGAATATCAACACCATTATTTTAGATTTGGTAGATTTATTTGATAGCTATTTTAACAGTAGCCAAGCCGCTGGTTTATTTCTAGTTGAACATTAGTGGCTGGCTCTGCTATGCTATTTTTTAAATAATTTTTTCCAGCAGATACAAACGATTTTAAAAATGGATTCTAATAATAAGGTTAAGTACTCTAAAATCATCTGAAATGTCACTTGTTTTGCCCCAATCTCACATGACTCATCTGCCTGTTGTTTCATAATAGTTGTTGTGACATTTGCTGTAAATGTTATGCTCCCTTCTGTGTGGGTGTAGAGCTATGGTTTTAGATAGCTGCAAATAAGACCCTCTTCCCCCCCCCCAGGGGAAAGGAGGTTGCTATGACACAAGAATCATTTACTAGGAATAACATGAGTCAATAATGTAAACCAAGGCCTTTAACAAAACATCAGTGACTTTTAAATGCAAAGGAAGCCCTGTCAAATGATAATTTTTTTTTCCTCCAAACCATTTTAGTAATACATTCTTGGGTGTCCAGTAAAAATGAAAACTTAGAGATTTTTACTGCCTAAAAAACTTTATTCATCACATGGAGATTTTAATTTTCTATCAGCTGTCTGAAAGGAGAATGGAAAATAAATACTATACTGAAAAATACCATGAAAGCCGTAGGCAAACATTAAATGATTAAGAGTTTTATTTCTTTGTTTACTTGTTTGTTTTTAATGTGGTTCTTCTTTTTATTTAGATAATCTAGATTTGGGGATTTGGAACCTTTTAAAGCCAAAACAGATTGAGGCTTACAAGCATGTCTTCCTAGATGCCACTCTGATAGAACAGATATTTCCTGATAGATCTAGTCAGAGGTGCTCCAGTCTTAGGCTGAAGGATCTGATGTCCAGGGAAGGTAGGCAGCTACCCAGAGTCATAAGCCAGTGAGTGGTAGAGCTCAAGTGTAAGATGCTTAGACCACTCTCCTTTACACCAGTCCAGACTGCTGCTCACCAAAGCCTGGTAGGTACTTATATTCTTTTTCTAATGTTTCTGATGCTCATGCATAGTGTAGATAATTTTGAGCATGCAGTAACTTGAAAATTCTACATTCACTTTTTCTATGAGCCTCTTAAAAAGAGTTAGTTAGTATTCTGTCAAGGGTCATCTGTTGACTTCTTTGTCTTCTTAAGAGCAAGAAAGGAATTCTCCCTCCCTTCTTCCCTCCCCCCTCCCTTCCTTCCTTCCTTTCTTCCTCGGTATCTTCTATCCCCACAGGCATTTTCCTTGCCCCTATATGCAGTCATTTTCTCCTGTATTTTTGTTTGCATGGATTCTTACATCATACATGTATTTTTTGCTTTGTACTCATGAATTTTAGGGGATTTAAATGGCATGGTGTTATCAATCTCATTCCATTTCTTATTCTTATCACTAAGCATGTGATAAAAATAAGACTAGTTCTTTTTAGAGCTAGTCACATCATAATGGATGCATATGCCTAATTGCTTTTAATCACTGTAATAATCCATGGTGGGTACTCCTCCATTTTACCTACCTGTTCTCCAGTTGGATTCCCCAGTGACCTCCAGTTCTCACCCACCACCAAAACATGCTTTAGTGTATATCCACACTCATCACTCTGTAGCTAAATGAGAATTTCTTGAGCAGCAGGAGAACCTCTGGGTCATGGTGTGCAGTGCTGAAATAGTCACCAGAATTGCTATACCAGTCCACAGTCTCACCAGTAATGTGTGATGGTTTTTACTTTCCTAAATCCCTGTGACATTTAATATTGTCCATTTTTCTAATTTTTGCCAGTGTCCATCTCGTAAGAGAATTTGAATCTTTTAATTGAAACTAAGGTCTTCTTGATGTCAATGGCTAAAGAAATAGCTCTACTGAGAGACGTGATTTTCAGCTTATGTGTATTTTATTCACCTGAATTTCAAATATTATCCATAATTTAGGGTTCCAATTACCATGATGGTGAGAAAAGTAATTAAAATTTGAAGGTCATTATTAAGATATGGATAGGCCTCCCCTGCCCCAACACCCGGCTCAGTCATATCCCTCTTCCCAACATCATGCTCTTTCTGGTGAAATGCTAGTTACCCATCAAAGCCTAGTTTAAAATCGACAACCTGCTCTGTGCCATTGAAGTGTTTTGACCATACTCTAATTATAGTAATTATGATGGGTCATTAGAGCTAGTCCTCTACTTTTCTGTGCACCCGAGTAGCATGTGAACTTACGTGGCCTAGGGCATCTTTGTACCCCTCCCACCCAATTAATCTAACTTAATTGTAATTAATTAATTGTTTTGTGAATGTTAAGCAATAGCCATTATATGTTTAATATTTCCATTTTATCTGACTACAGCAATCATTTCTGGTTCTGAAAAATTTTTAGATTAAAACCATCTTCCACATGTTCTAAGGTATGAAACATTGGCATCTTAGCACAGCATTGATTTAAGGGCTGCATTGGTTTCAAAACTGCTTCCTGGAAAAATCCTGGCCTTGTGTGGAAATACTTGTAAGCTTACCACAGTGCTAAGGTGGGGTAACCTTCCAGCCTTGCAAGAATGCTGGTCAGGATCCTTCACTGTCTCAGTGAAATGGTCCCTCTCACCATCTGTTCATCTGACTTTCAAGTGTGTCTGCACCCTTTTAGCAGTGTACCATATAGCTCCGGTTTCTTATTAAGAAACATTAACCTGGAACAGGTAGCCTGCTTCTATCAAGAAGTCAAATTGAGGAGACTTCCCTACTGGCCCAGTGGTTAGGACTCCACGCTCCCAATGCAGGGGGCCTGGGTTCGATCCCTGGTCCAGGAACTAGACCCCACATGCATGCCACAACTAAGAGTTCGCATGCCACAACTAAGGAGCCAGCGGCCTGCAACTAAGCAGCCCACCTGCCACAACTAAGACCCAATGCAAACCAAATAAATAAATTAAAAAAAAAAAGTCAAATTGAGGAAAGTTATATTTAAAGGAGATAATTTGAGAAAAACATTATTTCAGCTAAGTCATTTGTGATTTTATCCATTGGAAGTTTATGTAAATGTTGTGCTTATTTCCTTATCTGTAAATTGAAGGAAATAAATTATGTCCAAATCTCTGAAGTTCCGTGATATGATATATACCAGTTAGCCTCTGTGGGAAGAACCAACTATACCCCCCAACTTGGGGGACTTTGGACTTTCCTTACTTCCTCAGGAATTGTCTCCATGACTTGAAGATCCTCACGTCTATAAAGCCACCAGGGCTTTTGATTTCTTCTCACGCCAGACTAGCTGGCTCCCAGTTGTACACTTTTATTCTTTTCCATAAGCCCCAGGGCCTGATTGTGCTTCCTGTTTTTCTCTCAAGCTTCCTCCTTCTCCATGCTTTTTTATGGTTCCCTTATCCTTCGGTAATGGCTGCAGAGTGGTGTGTAGCTTCTGCAGCAGTACCTGACAACAAATCATCCAGCCTTGATCGGTTTAAAAGTTTTATTGCTGATCCCACGGGGAACCAGAATGAGGGAAATCACTCAGTTCCTTCATCCATAACAAGAGCATAAGATTGCTGGAGAGTGCCTGGAATTAGGAACTAGGAATTAGGTTAATGTCCCAAAACTCCCTGGCATAGGGCTTGGCACATGGTCAGTGCTATCCTAGGAAATGGCACCACTCAATTTTGCTCTGAAGCTACAGGGGCCTAAAGTCCCATAGTAAGAACATTCCCAAGTCCCTTCACTTTTGTCAAAGCCCCTGTGAGCAGCCAGTGTGCTACTGCAATTATTACACCTGAGAAGAAACCTTTTTTTCACTTTAGTATAGGTTTAGCTTCCTACGATGGGGTAGGAGGAGATCGCCCAAGTTCTGACTGGAAAACAAAGATAACCTCTTTTGTGAGGTTGGGGTAACTTTTGGTGTCATTCCCACAGTGCCTGTCAAGTCTCCGTGCTGTGGGAAGCAGATACAACCTTGAATGAATATTGTACATGATTTAAAGTAATTATTTTTCCACATTTATTTCTCTTCCATAAATACAGAGAAGCAGATGAAATATCCTTTTATTATAAATGGCTGCTTACTGCCAATAAGCTAGTTTAAATATTTTTACTTCCTCATACGTTCTTTTGTTCTTGTTCAGGTATATATTCTGTATTTAAAAATCATGGTAAAAACATATCAGTATAAGCAAAATAACTTGTCTTTTTAAATTAGAGCAAATATGCAGCTGTTGTTGATACTCCTTAAATAAAATTGCAGTCTCGTACATTCTGATGATAAAATCTTTTCCAGTAGTCTTCATGGGTTTTTGACAACTTTAATTTTGTAAAGGGTTTCATATATACTCAATGTAATGTTAAAAATTTCAATATACTTCTTGCTTTCCATGTACAAATATCTGGCTTGTTCTTCTGAGAAAAAAACAAACTCTGAGTTGGTTTGGAATTTCAAGTTGCAATGAGAAAAGTCCACCTTTAGCTTTCTGCTCTTATGTTAAGGCTACGACTCATCTCCAAACAAACGTATGATTGAGGTGATGTTTTGGAATAACATCCTGTGTTTTGGTGGCGCATCACTCTTCAGTGACATTCTGAGGTTGCATTGTATTAGCACATGATATTTTCCCCAGTTAATTGATATCCCAGGTTTGTCCAGGGGAAAATCTACCGCTCCCCCAAACATACTTGACAAGTTATTATATTTACTTTAGTCAAAGCCCGTGTGTGCAATATCCCTCTTGGAGGTGGTCTATTATTGGAGTCCCATATGCTTTTTGTTTGGGAAGAAAGCAGTCACTGTGTCATACTGTTACATGGAGTATTCTTTTTCAGGGATGTTGTTCCCTTGGGGACCATATCAGGCCAGAGTTCCTTAGTCTAATAAGACCTTTGTAACTCTTATTGTATAAGAGTTCTGGGAGGGAAGCAAGAGTTAAACAGAAAATGTAATTCAAGCAACTATATTAGGCCACATGTGGGAAAACATGACTCTTAGTATTGGATTAAAAAAAAGGTTTATTTGTTGTAAAAAGGACTCTGATGCCAAAATTTTCAGGGTATTTCAGTGTAAGTGAAGACTGTTGTGGCCCAGGGAACTCACAACATTTTAACATTTACTTTAGTTTCTGAATATGTATGATTTAAAAAACACCATACAGAGTTGTCTTTTCACAAATTTTATATTTAAAAAAAGATATAATTAATTGTTATAGAAGTCCTGTATGGTGATATTTAAGATTTTCTTGTGTGAGTTTTCCCATCAGCAAAATGATGTTTATTCCATATGAGGATAATGATTATAGCAACGTTACATACATATTCTTCATGCATTAATACAAAAATCTGTACTCATAAGAATTACTCAATTTAATTGTTGTACTTTACCAATTGATGACAAACACACTGATTATATTCCATAAAGGTAGAATTTTAAAAATGAATTTTTTCTACATGAACATAGAAGCTTGCTCTTCAGATTTTATAGTTACAACTGATGAAGAAATTTTTAATTTATTACATATAACATTTTTGGATACAGAAGTCATAAAATACTTATAAGTTCTTAATTAAAATATTTAAATGTTTTGACAGATTATGATAATATAAAATCTGTTTTCTGAAATGAGAACGCTACAGTAAAATATGTGATATTGTGTAATATTTTGAGAGTTCCCTTTCACTTTTTTTTTTTTTTTTTTAACCAGAAAATGGTTTCACAGCAACGCATTCTAATTCACGAAGATTCCATGAACCTGCTCAGTCTTTATACCTCTCCCTCTTTGCCCAACATTACCCTGGGACTTCCAGCAGTGCCAGCCCAGCTGAATGTAAGTCATTATTACCCTGCAACAGCCTAAACCAGCCCAAGGGATATTTTCATAGGGAAATTCTCGTTCTTTTCTTGTATGTTTAGACTTCAGGGAAACTTGGTAGTCTACTTCTCCTTCACTGTTTGCTGAGTTGTTCCAAGATGTTCAGTTTAATTTCACATTAAAGAATCATGCTGGTTCATATAATATATAAAAATAATAACTAACATTTGTATAATGCTTTATAGCTTTTAAAAAAGAAAGCACTCTCCAGGTATATTATTTTGGTAGCTCCACCCAACCATCCTATGAAACAGAGATTACAGGACACATTTTTACAGAAGAAGCAGCTGAGACTTGGAATGCATAAAAGCCCAAGATCACAGACCCAGCAAGTAGCAGACATGAACCTCAACTCAGGCCATTGCTGAGAGGTGCAGCATCTGAAGCGCAGCAGCATATGTTTAAAGAATTTATTTTGTGAATGACTTTATTTTGAGAATTTAGGTTACTGACTCTGGTACTGAAGAATACATATCTGGAAAACCTCTCTAAGAACAATATTAAACTCTTGCCTGGAGATTCAAAGTGAATCAATTACTTTAAAAGTCCTGACAACTGAAATAGGATCTTTTGGAGGTAATTGTCCTACTAACAGAAGACAGCAATAATTATTTTATGCATATTCCCTAAAATAATATAAATTTCAGTCACTGTAAAAGATTTGTAAACTTTACCTAGACTAATTTATCTGTGAAAAGTTAGTAAATTAAATTGTACTTATGCAGAGGTCATATGATACATTTGGTTTAAAGAGAAATTTGTTCCAGCCCTTGGCACCAATTTTGCCAATTTTTAGATGCAGGTCTTCCACTGAGTCCATCTTGTCAAATTCACATCTTTTAAAGTATGCTAACATTAAGAAATCATAAAGAGTTGACCATTTTGTGACTAATTGATTTTCAAAATAGGAACCCTATCTATGGTATGCTACTAGTTTATGCACAAGCACACCTACAGGTGACATTTTTAAATGATACATTTTATGATTGTGTTCAATACATATTATAAAACCAATCTAAGAGGTACCTTATTGTATTTGGTATTTTTAATAGAGTAGAATGTTATCTTATGTGATATAGTAATCTTATACCAGTGAGGAGAAAGCAAAATTTGGATGTTGTTTTATATTTGGAGATTAAAGAAGACAGGCTTAAAAACACTGAATTCAGCTATGCCCCTGAAATTCCACATGAAGCATTTGTAAACAGTTGGCTCTACTGAAAAGAAGAAAGAAATTAGGGATGAAATAAAACATACATATTTATGGATGATATTTTCAAATCTTCACTTACTAAAAATTATTTTCTTCTGTTCCTGTTTTTTCCTATCTCTTCTGATGATAAGCAAATGCTAGCACATAAACTTATGACACGTGAATAGGCTTTTTTTTTCCTACTCTTTTTTTTGCATGTTCTAAGTCACTCCTACCAGCTAACACAAACATGCACCACTTTTAATGTGGTCGGGGAGAATTTTTTCCCAAAGGACCAAGTACTAAAAACCAGACCATTTAATGTTTCAATGGTGATACAATTTGGTACCTTTGGATGAATAAACCAGTGTGGTTTGGATTGAAGTTTCATTTTTCTTTGCTTCCATTTTGGTGTGGATGAGGCCATCACAATTAATTTTTCAAGCTTAGCATTGCTTTGGCAAAGGGATCTCTAATATTCTAGTTCCCCACTGAGTAGTGGTAAATTTTAAGGAAAAGAGGCCAGGAGAAGGAATCACTTCTAGATTAAACATTGCATTGACTCGCTGTGTGACTAAGACAAACCATTTACCTCTTTGTCCTTCAATTTCTCCGTCACTGAAAATTGCTTTGCTTCCCTGGTACACAGCAATTTTGAAAGATGAAACATGAGTTTTGAAAAGAAACATGCCACATAATTTTGAGGTATTAGACCTCTGCTTTTGTAATACCAAAATGACCACCATTCATTAAGTTCTTTGAATAGGAGAATTCATTATTACTGTTGATGATATAAATATTATTGCCTTATTATTGTGTTATCATATATTTCAAGTTCTTAATAGCATTTTTATTTGATATCTAATTTCACTTGTAGTTTATTTTATTAAACAAAAGTATCTGGAGTGTCATTTTCAATATTTAAAGATTTGGGACTCTGTTATGAATTAATATAAAATACATGTTTAAATCAAATTCCTGCATATTTTATATAACCTTTCATTGACTTATCTCAAGAATTTTATTTTAAAAATTAAATACTGGAAACCCACACTCTGTGAACGTATTAGAGGACGTATAGAGAAAGGGTGATTGGTTCCTTCTGCTTGAAGCTCCAAAATTACGGATCTTTTTATCTCTAGCTTCTTAATCCCTATTGTATAGCCATTAGCTCAGCGATTTGAATAAATTTTACTTTTCTAATATACCTTTTACTACAGCAGTGTATTAAACTATTTTAGAAATAACTGTCCCAGTTATTAAGCCTGAAATTAGCATGATTTTTAATGTTAAAAAACGTTTTATTTTGGGTTCCGTGTAATGATACCCAATACTAAATTGTCTCCAGTGCTTCAGCTCTATTTTTGTTTCTCCTTTGTTAGTTCACTTAGTTCACAAGACATGGTGTTATCCATTTTCCCTACTCAGCCATTGGATAAGGTAGGGCTTCTTGGTCGGGGGTTAGAGGGGGTGGGAATTATGGAATAAGAAACTAATCTAATGATTTACAGACCTAATGACCCATATGGTGAAAGTGGATTAACATCAGTATTATTTCTTGACACAGGCTTCAAATTCGCTCAAAGAAAAACAGAAGTGTGAGACCCAGACACTCAGGCAAGGCGTTCCTCTGCCTGGGCAGTATGGGGGCAGCATCCCGGCATCTTCAAGCCATCCCCATGTCACTTTGGAGGGAAAGCCCAACAGCAGCCACCAAGCTCTCCTGCAGCATTTATTATTGAAAGAACAGATGCGACAGCAAAAGCTTCTTGTGGCTGGTAATTCATAACGGCACCATTTGCAGGTTATTTTAGGGCTTTCATTTTATCAGCAATTCAATGTAATGTCTCTTTAACTCAAGACCTAGTAAAGATTCAGTGTCATACATAGGTCTCCCTGATACCTACTACTGTGGAAAGACTGTTGTCTTTATTTATTCCTCTAGATCCATGAAAAAAAAACTCACCTTATTTAACCTTCATACATACCAGAGTGGACTATTGGTGAGTCATTGATCAGTTGCATATCTGCCCAATGCTTTGGCACTTTTGCCTTCACCCCACCCAACCTAGCCTTCTGATATTTGCCCGGTAGTATACTACTTTTCGTAAAACGTATCCCATAGCTATTTTCTGTAGCTTCTTTCCTAAATTGTGTATGTGTCTGTGTGTGTGTACATATATACATGTACGTATATATTTTTTTCAGGTGGAGTTCCCTTACATCCTCAGTCTCCTTTGGCAACGAAAGAGAGAATTTCACCTGGCATTAGAGGTACCCACAAATTACCCCGTCACAGACCCTTGAATCGAACCCAGTCTGCACCTTTGCCTCAGAGCACATTGGCTCAGCTGGTCATTCAGCAGCAACACCAGCAATTCTTGGAGAAGCAGAAGCAATACCAGCAGCAGATCCACATGAACAAGGTAAGTCCCCAAGCCACGTCAACATGCCATAACCACTGGTGTGGAAATTGGGGTTTTCTTCACTGATGTGTGCATACAAGAGAGAGTGTTGGTATCCATCACAGCCAAACGGAGACTGCCCTCCTGGCCGTGCTGTCAGGGCTCAAGGGCACCATCACATTATCACTGTTTTCTCCATCACTACATGTGTAGGACATTTGTAGCAAAATTGAGGTCCTAGATTAGAAAGTCTCTTATGATTGGGTACCTATGTTAATACAGAAGCACATACAGGAACATGTGTGCAGAGCCCCATTTTTTGTTATTGTAGTAAAGGTGTGAGGCAGAGTTGAAGTTTGCACAGGTGCTAGCAGCTATGCCAAGGTCGGCCAGTTAGGTATTTCTCAGCAACTTCTATGTATGCATGTTATATTTATTTTTTAATATGCCCTACTTTATTCCAGTCAGTGTTGAAGCGGTTTCTCAGAAACTTGTGGTAGTTTCTTTCTGGCAGCCTTATTGTGGCTGAAATGGACAGCAAATGCCTGAATCACAGCACATCCTCAGGAGCCCTCCTGCTGAGGCAACCACAGTCATTCTAAAATAATGGTATCAGGCGGGCCAGCAAAGCATTTTCAATGAACTTGTAAGCAAAACTGGTCTGTACAGTTTTGCCACTACTCTCTGCTATGGTAGCCTTACAAAGTAGAATCCTCTCATTTCTGGAGAGTGAAAGGTCCTGAATATCAAAATTCTTTCTATTATCTTTTGTTACTATATCACCTCCAGATATCTTGTAGAGACATTATATTGAGAAACAATCTCCTGTTTACTGATAAATGGATAGCTAAAAATTGAAATAGTATTTAAATGCTTTATTGTATTGCGATATAAACAAAACAAAATCTCATGGGAGAAGGTCTAATCATCTTTCTAATAGCAAGAGAAGGGGGTGTTTATCATGTGCTCACCTTATTGCAGGTGGGATTAGAGATTTTCTCTCCTCTTTGGCCTCCATCTTATGGAGCACAGGCTCCGGACACGCAGGCTCAGCGGCCATGGCTCACGGGCCCAGCCGCTCCGTGGCATGTGGGATCTTCCCAGACCGGGGCACGAACCCGTGTCCCCTGCATTGGCAGGCGGACTCTCAACCACTGCGCCACCAGGGAAGCCCTGGCCTCCATCTTAACAAGGCAGAGCCATGAAGGGAGCATGGGCTGAAGACCACAATACTGAACACAAATTCTCCCAGTCCAACCCTTTGCAGCATTCAAAGATGACGTGTATGTGTGTATATCGGGGTTCAGGGTGGTTGGCTGTGCCATCTGCCTCTCCTGTTATCGTTTGCTGTACTGCAGATTGTATTTCACTATATTTCAGACTCTTTCTATATCGTCACGTTAATGCCTGTTTTATTGCTACAGCATTTCTCTAAATTTATCAGATTGTTTTGGGTACAAACAGTCTTGTCAGAGGAGAACCAACTTCCTTCTTGTATAATGGCATATAATACTCCTTGCCTTGAATGTTATTCTGCATGTTTACTATCTTATGGTAGAGTTATGTTGGTTTGTTTGTTTTGTGGTATCTTAGCACTACTTAAAACTACCAGGTATTCTTGAAACATTGTCCAGTGTGAGAGGAAAGACTGGGAATTCTACTTTTCACCTCACAATATTTTGATCTGGAATTAAGTTCATTTAGAAAAGTAGTATTGGATTGTAAGTATACTTTCTGCTACTCGGTTCGATTTCCTAGAAATATGTGGATGTGCATATTCTATTACAGGTAAATTGGTCCCTTTGAAATCATCATCTACAGATGATTTCTATGAATACCTTTAAGAATACTTTGGAATACATTTTTTATGACCTAGAGTTGCCACTGCTTCACATTCAGATGGTTTGTTAATATCAGAATCTTTGTATATTAGTATCACAGTGGAGATTTTGACAGACAGATGCTAACCTCAGTCACATGGAAGAAACTAAGATGGAAAGCAGGCATTTGCATTTTAGCAATGAGAAAAGCAAATCTTTATCAGAGACCTTCTCCCATGTGGAGCTGATTCCTTGGAATCTGTTAAGAATTCTTCCCAAAATTAGAAACAAACCTATACGTTTAGGTACATGTTTGTACAGTGGTTTGATTATTAAATCTTGTCTTAATTAGGCAAAATGAAGCCCAGAAAACTTCAAAGTACAAAGCTGATCTTTATATATTAACCTCTCTCAACTTGGGTGTTTAGATTACTCAAGCAGGTCTCTACTTGGCTTTTCTCCATGTATATATTCCATATGTTTAATCAAGATGGCATATGCACACTGGGTATTCTCCAGATTTGAAAATATTTCACTTGCCCTCAGTTGTCTAAGGAAATAGAGAAGAATCTTATTAAATAAATCTTGAACTCCATCCTGTTCCATGGTATTCACAATAGAACCATTAATAAATGAATTGCTACTGTTCACCCTCCCCCATGAGGTAATGAAAACATTTAGTTCACATTAGGAGAAGGCCAAACTTAGATGCCAAAAGATAACAAGTTTTATATAATAATACATTTATGTGTACTCTAACCATTTAGAATAACCATTAATGAGAAATAACCACAGAAACTTTAATATATGTCATTTTTTTCCTATTATCATGGAAGAACCTTTACTGAATCCATTCAAATTGGAGCCAAATAGTTGGCATCATAAAAGCATGGTTCTTACTCTTGAGATACTTATTCCAGCAGGAAATATAGGCACACATGAAGAATAGGTGTGCAGATGACATATTTTAAAATGTCTTTTCCTTTTATTCCCTCAGCTTTTCTTTATGGTTCTTTTTTGAGGAATTTAGGAATTTTGAGGAAAAATGGAGTGAGAAGAAAGAAAAAATAAGTAGGTTTATCTCTAAACTTACATCATATTAAATATGATTGGGCTTCCTGGTATGAAATTTTTAATGATTTATTTGAATTGCTAAAAATCTTTAGAAGAATTAGAAGCAAAGCTGTACTTTTCAGAACAGTTTATACAAAGATTGGCTTATTAAATTTAAAAAACTTTCTCATATCTTGCTATTATTTGACTGCATTTATGAAAGCGGTCATTCATGCTTGTTATAACTATACAATGTAAATGTTATTAATCATACTAAACAATTTACCTACCTGTTACCTGATACTTTAATGACATTTACATGGGAAATTTGTGTGTGGTAAGATGTTAAGCCTCATGTAATTATGTTGTAAGTGCTTAATAGCTTAGCAGAAATACCCCAGGAATGGGTTTATGTAGCATTTGTATTGCTGTATCTACCAGTAAATAATGGGGCAAGCCTGAAAAATGAATGAAAAATGTCAGAATGATTTGTCTCTGCTTATCAGTTTGTATATTCTGTTTTCACTGGAAGAGTTTTGAGAAGCTTAACCATAAGAAAATCACGGCTTACAACATTTGTTCTTTGATTTTTTTTTGAGACATTTACAAAATTCAGAGATGCATTTAAACAATTTCTATTACTAATATATAGTACCTTTATGTTTCAAAAAAAACAAGAGTTTTTTAATATGAGGATTTCAAAAGAAAACTGTTGCTTTTGCCAGTATCTTTTGATTTTTTTATTAGAAAAAAATGGTTTCTAAAACAGAATTTTCCTTGTAAATACAAAATAGCAAACAAAAATATAGGAGGGTATTGATAATTTTCTTCTGAACCGTTTTCAAGTTTAAATATTGCCACAGATTATCTGGTAAAAACTATGATGAAAACAAAATACCACAGTTACTTGGACGTTTTTATGATTTTTGAAGGAGTATCTGACCACTGCCTAATTACCAGAAGGGTAGATCTCTAGTCACATCACTCTCTGAATGATATACAGAAATTTTCCAAAGTATATTCAGGCATTTTTGTTGTGAGATAATTTGACATAGATCTCTGCCCCCTTCCAAATGACAACATTATTCTTTGAATTATTTCTCAGTTATAGTATTAATAGAATAGCATTGGTTGATGCCTAATTGTTTCTGTTTTAACTAGAATTTTAATAACTTTTCTAATACCTATATTTTTCATATTCATTCCATCAAATCCATATGAGAAGAAATTTTAAAATTATTTCTTCATTCAATGCTTATTTATAAATAATCTATGCAAGTATCCATTTAGCAAATCATTACTGAATTCTTACTTGGTACCAGACACTATTTTAGGCACTAAGAAAACAACATTCATTATCCTCATGGAGCTTACCATATGGGGAGCAGGGGACTGAAATATTCCAGTAAACAGTAATACAATACAATGTTTTAAGTATTAGGATAGGGGACATGAGGAAGGAAATTGTTTCCTTTGAGGAAACAAGATTTTGAGACTTGTTTAGTTCTTCTCAGGATTATCTTGTCCTTTTTACATCTTTTCCTCTCCCTTCTCTCTCTCTTTCTTTCTCTGTCTCTCTCTCTTTCCTTCCCTGCCTCTTTCTCTGTTTCTCTCCCTCCCTCTCTCCCTCTCTTTCTTTCTTTGTAAAATGCTCTGTGATAAATACCTTATGCATTCCTATGACTGGATATCAGCCAACACTTAAAAAAAAACCCACATAAATCATGAGATGATATCTTATACGTGTCAAGGTTCACTCTAGATATAAGTATTTATTATATATTTATTACTATGATACTTAGGCATTTTGACATGAGTGCTATTTTATCATAATAAAAATATATCTAAGACAAGAGCAGTGAAGGGGAGGGTGGGCAGATGTCCTACATTGCCCTTATTAAAACAGGTAGATTTTATGTCTGACGAGCAAGGCATGAATATAGTTAAGCTCAAATGCTGGCACAGAGCTAATGGGGAGCTTTCATCAGTTTTGGAAGAGAATTTGACCCTTTATTTGAACAGGATCTGTTGTATTCCTTTTCTTGACACAATTTTCTAACATAGATGTTAAATTTTCTCCATAACCCCTCATGATTCATACCCACTCCTTGTCCCCAACAATCCATCCAGAGCAACTCAGGGGAGAAT